AAACACACGAAAAACATTATGCTCTTTATCCCTTATGTCTCAAAACACGTGATTCGATCACGTGATGTTATCTCATTGTAAACAGGGTTAATTTGTTGGACTATACGTGTAGTATCAAGTATGGTAAAGTATTAACACAAGTTAACTAATAATATTGTGTATATGAGTACAGATTCGAATTCCGAAGTGGGACATCGAGTTCCGTTTTGGCGAGGTCTGGCGAGCTGGGAGGAACTTTTTAGATCGTCTGGAAGGGCTGATCTAAAAACCAATCTCTGCTCAGTATTTATAGCTAATCTTACTAGACTAACGAGCTAGTCAACAAATATATGACATCTAACTTTTGCTCTGCAAATACATTATATTTCACCGAGATTTTTGAGATTTTCGCCGCGATTTTGCCTAGTTTGGCATGTCGCAGCACCGCGATTTTTGGCCTAAATAATCGCGATTTTCTTTGTCCTTGTGACGATCTTATAATGCTGAGTAAATTAGTACCGATATTATTATTTATTATTACTTTTATATATGGTAGAAAGAAAACTCCATTTAAGGACGTGAGGAGAATTAGGACTCCTCAATATAACTACATTAAATACATTCCTTCTGTATCGTCCTCAATAAATGTAATAGATTTGTAGTGTTCATGTTGTAATTAGTTAAAAACTAATATATTACTAACCAGTTGAACGAAATTACCTCAACAAAATTCTACTTAGATAAAGCTCCAGACATCCCAGATATTAATTATACAGGGTGGCCCATAAGTGACTACCCACACGCAACCTCTTAATAACTCACGTAATTCGTCTCCAAATTGCACCAAAATTTCAGAGATTATAGATATGAGTCAAACTTCGGATTTTGATATTTGCTGTCGAATACATTACGTAATTCTTGTCTTGTAGATTAAACCTCGCAAAACTTTTTTGTATTTCTATATTGGCTTCGGTGCATTTGTGAATAGCTTTGCCCATTTAACTTTTTACCCTCGAATTTTTGGCCTTTTAAACTAATAATGAACCATAACTATATTTGTTTGTAATTTTTGTAAAAAACAGATAGTTCAGGCGATAAGTACTGTTATAACCGGCCTTGCTACTCAGAATAATACAAATATTCAGAATAAAACAAATATTATATTCAAATCTCTTTATTCATCAATATTAAATCATTATAGGGACCTAATTTGTGGCTTGATCGTTATGTTAGGGCTATTCTGTTAGCTGATGCTGACAGGCACCGCATGGGGCAGAGACTTAGGACCATTACGCTGAAGGCTTACAATGACCCTTTTTGAACCCCATGGCAGTGCTAGTTTTATTATGGTACAAATTGTAAATCGAAGTTATGAAAACGATCAGGTCACTCCTGTTTTATACTATCAACAGCTACTTAAAACAACCTAGATTGTACAACTCACTTTGAAGATTAAACTGTTAAGTGATGAGTGATTGGGCTCATTAAACATTTTAGTAGCGGAGACATGCGGATCAGCTTCTTGAGGTTCTAATAGTTCATTCAGACAAGAAATTTTACTTTTTCAAATTTATTCGTTCAAGCTGCATGAGTTCAGAAAGTTTGCCAAAGGGGCCCAGGTATTCTTGTCACCTTTACCATGGGACGAGAGAATAACTTTTTAAACTTTGATTTGAATACACCATGAGTGATTTCAAGGTCGTTCAGTGCCAACATCTGACGGAATGAATTCCAAAGGCAACTAGATTGGTAAATAAAACTGTTTAAGGGCATGGTTGTTATAAGAAAAGTTTCTTTGCCGGGTCTTTTAGACAAACAGAAAAGTTCAAATAGTGCAATTGGTGTTCGATATTTAAAGACTTTAAAAAGTTCATTGCAGCAGTGATACGCGTATAAATTATGCAATGTCATGAGTGATTGACGGGCAAAAAATTGGCTTGGTGTGCTCTCTCTCAAAGAATTTGCTCGTAAGTTTCTGTTCACTGATAGGTCTAGTTCTCGCACATGTCATAAATTTATCAAGGTATGCTTTTTTGTCACCAAACATGATACGAACACACTTTTTCTGGGCTACAAATAGTGGTTGAAGTTTATTATTACTTGCACCTCCCCAAACGGTAATACTATAAGATAGGTGACTTTCAAACAGTGTGTGGTACAGGTCCTTATGGATTGATGATGGAATTTTATCCTTAATCATGTACAGCCTCCCAGAACAGGACGAGAGTTTTCTAACTAGTTTGTCTCTATAGGGATTGAAAGTTAGGCCTTCGTCGACAATTACTCCCAGGAATTTCGTTTCCTGCACCTTTGAGAGAGGTAGGCCGTTGAGGTAAAGTCTATTTTCGATTAATAAAGATTGCTCATCAAGTTTTCTTGACTAAATGTGGAACACAAATGGCAAAACATTGAAGGGACACTCCACATGGAGTACTCTTTGCTGTTTAAGGGGGGGGGGGGGGGGGGGGGGGGGGGGGGGGGGGGGAGGGGGGGGGGGGGGGGGGGGGGGGGCCAATGAGTATTTTTTTGTGAAACTTGATTTCGAGATAGCAGTTGACCAACAAACTAGTGATCGAACTTTTGACGGTGCCCGTTTGGCGGCCAAATTTTGGAATTTGGCCGCCAAATGTTTTTGGAGGTCTAAATAAAAATTCGGCTTCCCACAATAAGGTCGAAATGCGATTAAGAGTCGATTCCGAAAATTTCATGCAAAAATTTTATAAACTGATTGAGTTATTTGAATTTCCAAATTAATGAAATCAATTCTGGGAATATCACGAACGAAGATACGGGCAATTTTGTTAATTTTTTGGGGTATTTTCGCCTTAGTATCCACATTTAAACAGATATAACGTTATAACTTACAGAGAATATGTAGTTTAGGCTTACCTTTCATATAAAGTTAGTCTCATCCATATTGATATTTGACCAATTTATGAGACGAAATCTACCAAATTTGGTGCATATGTCCAAACATGGGCATATGGTTTTTGGCTCATAACTCAGTCATTCTTTGTCCAATCTTGATAAAATTTCACATACGAGTTCAGGAGACCACTAGCTACAAGTAGAGCACATAAAATATGGGTTTTGGGCATGTTCGTGTTATTTGGCTAAATTGGGCCTAATTTGGACCAAATATGGGCGTGGCTACCCCGCGGTCACCGTTTGGCGGTTGGGGTCCGGGACCCCCTCAAAATTTCCCCAAAAATACCCATTGGCCCCCCCCCCCCGTTAAGGGTTAAAAAGCGCCAATAACTCATAAAAGCATAAAGTATGCTTTCTAGGGTTAGTATTTCTAAAAACATAACAAAAAAACTAATGTGCTCATTTTAATACGGCTAATTTTATAGTTGCATCTAAAACATTTTGAGTAGTTTTTCTATCAATAGTTAGCTAAATATTAAAGATTAATTATGATTCAGTTTTTGCTGTCGGATTTCGAGTGCCACTAGAAATTAACTTTCTTAAGCTTAGGTTACTTGGGTGAGCTTTATATCTTACTGATTTCTGTTTTCATGAAATATTGCTCGTTCTCCTTTGGAGAGACAAAACTTAAGGGGGGGGGGGGGGGGGGTTCACCCTGATTTTTTTGTGAAACTTGTTTTCGAGATAGCAGTTGACCAACAAACTAAGACCGGTGACCAAACTTTTGAGAGGGTCCCGGACCCCAACCGCCAAACGGTGCCCGCGGGGCAGCCACGCCCATATTTTGTCCAAATTATGCCCAATTTAACCAAACACCCTAGGGCCTGTCGTGATATCATGGATCGCTTAGGTTCCACCAGGATCTGGTAGTCCTCATAATTCTGCGGCCTCTATGTGTCGTCATCTCGCACAACTCTTTAAGAATCTTGTGGATTTGGCATGTGAAAATTTGCAGCCTTCCAGACATTGATTGGGTTAACGAGGTGTCGTACGTCACCTCAAGATCGGGTGACAGGGGGCTGACCAGGCCAGAACCCAATTGATTGGGCCTGAGGTCACGTGATTATGAGCCTGAGGTCACGTGACTATGACGTCACCAGACCTTCCTCTCCGTTTCCCGCTCATTGGACCAGGTGAGCTTGCATGCATGTGAATGTGGGTGTAAGTATAGCTGTACTGTAGTTTATACCTAATTAAACCCCTATAGAAACCGACAATTTATTTTCTGGCAGAAAGCTAGAAATTTACCAAAATATCGTCATTGTTTTAAATTTATTTTGATGACCATTCCTGACCTAAAATCGCACGAGAAATCGATTAAACTTGGTTTCAGAACTCAACAATGCTTCCTTATGCCTCAAAATCCATGTTTTATCGATACAATCAACATCTCGATCCTGTAGTTCAACTTATTACTTAAAGGGTTCAAGTATAGTTACGCGGTAGACAAACTAAAACAAAATTGTAGGTTTATAACCTGCCAGGACGTGTGTCGAGTTAAGCTCGAGTCGAAGGTAATATTTGGAACAAATATTTTACGAGTATCACCCGTTAAAAACAAAACACCAGTTTAATTGTCCTTTTGTCTGAACCATATGGTTAAGTGTAAGCTGTATACAATACGTCAAAAAATCATATCAACGAATCGTATCAAAGTCCATCATCAGTTAGTAACAGAGTAGAGATCAGAGCAGAACGAAGGAACATGCTTGCTTGCGGGAATCTTTTCTGAAATATTGTCGACAGGTTAAAATCAATTGCATTTCTGTTACTTGGGTGTGGGATATAAAGCATTATATGGTTGTTAAAAGCCTACATAATACTCTTCACTTAATATTTATGTATCTAGCCAGCACCTCGATCTTATGTTGGTGGCTAGGTTCGGGGGTGGACATGTGATAGCGGAGTATTCTCGATGCCATCGTCAGCCACCTTGCGTGACACAACGGCCCAATCTTGTTACCAGCCGATGCTGGATCAGCGTATCCTAATGAAACGAAAAAATTCTTTAGAAGTTAAAGAAAGACTGAATTTCAATCACAGGTCCCTCAAAAATGTAAATGTTTATTGTAATTGTGATTATGAATATGATTTTATGTCATAACATTCGTACCGTCCATGCAGGATATACAGAGTTTGTATAAATGCTTCCTGTCCTCGCTCATTGTTGCGAGAACGGTGTCAGGGAGCCTCGGGAAACCGGTGCACGGAATTCTCTGAAATGTTGTTATTGGTCGCTCACACACCGGTTTCCCGATGGCCTTGCCCATAGACCCGTTGAATTGTCCGATTCCTGAAAGTTAACAAGAATTAATCATAATATTAGTAATCGAGATGGAATTTAATATTAAACAGTCGACAGGTCGGGCCGAGCCCCAATCTCCTTTTATATCAACACAATGGTCTTCAACCGTAAATTAGTATTAATTGTACATTGTTTAATTATCAAAAGTCATCACGTATGATAAACTTAGAAAAACCTTGGGTGACTTCATCGAGAAAGCAAAATAGGGCTCTCAGCGGCAACTCTGCCAGGTGTAACAGGCAAATCGCCAAGTGACATGGTCGCCCTAACATATCCTGGATATGTCTCAATGCTCCTCCCTGAATGGAATGTTCTTTAACTCCAAGCCTGTCATTGAAAACATTTTACAGTTACTGTTAAATATCGCTTAATGATGCTGTGATTTGTCAACTGTACCTCGTATCCTGTCAATGAATTTGTCCCGTCAGAGCCAAGAACCTTGACATTGGACAGTTTTACTTTTTTCTCTTCTAAGTAGTTAATAATAGCACTTGCTATTCCCCGTCCTGGACATTTAAAGATTACAAATTAACCATTAATCAAATGAATCCGGCTGCAAAGAGCAATTAGTTACTATTTCTATTTTGTTTATTACTCGCTTTTACGCATGATATCAACTATAAATAAATCTCTAAACCGGCGATCACGTAGGTAATGACTGATGATAAACCACAGAATTGAATTTATAATGTTTCCCACACTAGCTTTTAATAATTCATTAAAGTGAGTACTTACTGACCTGTACCGACATTTATCAGGCAAGCCCCCAAACATTTCTCCCCCGGGTACCCCACCAACGACAAGCGGTCCTCTTTCAGAAGCACGTTCTTTCCACCAAGGTAGTGGAGGCTGTCCCCTACCTTCCCATCAAAGTAAAGCCCTGCACGAAAGTTCAAATTAAGTTTACACTTATACTCACTCATTACTCAAATATACAGGGTGGGCCAAAAGTCAGTACCCATACGTTGGCCTTAATAGCTCCGCCGTGTTTTATATTTGAGAGCTGTTGCTTTGCAGATTGCATACTGTACTTACTGGTTCGAGGATTCCGTCGTCAAAATTTGAAAATTCGAATATTTTAGACCACGCCCATTCAATATTAAAACACCTATATTGTTTTCTCTGAACATGCTGAACGCCTAATTTTTTCAGAGACGGTAGATTATCAAATGTTACATATGATCTGAAAACATGAGGCAAAACGGATTAGAAATGACGAAGTTATCAAGCATTTTCTGTATCTCGTTAACAAAATTGACTGGGTGATTATGTGACACCGTGACACGACACCTTAATTGGGCACTCTTAACAATTCCCATAATGTTTAACGGGGTAGTTAACGGGGTCACCTTATCACGTGATTAGGTAATCCAATCACCTGATCACACGTAATGAATAAACTCGTTATGCTTCATATCTCGGTCATCTGAGAAGCTACAGTTTTAATTCTTTCAGGACAAACGTAATTCGAATGGCCAAACACAATTTAATAACATTAAGCTTGATCCAACTATCCAAACTATCCAATAAATGTGAAAATGAACCTCCATTTGAAAAAAATGAACGCAAATATTTTTCGAGTTGACAAATTCCTCGAACCAGTGGTGGTACTAAGTCATATCAGAAGGAAGTATTTAAATTGGGCACTCAGTGACTGAGCTATAAAGGCCAACGTATGGGTACTGACTTTTGGCCCACCCTGTATATTTTTGAACTCTAAATATCATGAAATACGCAATCGAACAGATTTGTCTTACCCTCCACTTTTAGATCTTGCACCGACAACAGAGCACTCCTCCTTCGCTTATTTGTTGCCAAGCGCAACTGAGCCTCTGTTGCCTCCCTGTACAGTCCGTCCTGAGCAGTCATGTCACGAAGAATATTAGTCATCGTGACATTGCTGATGGTTTACGAAAATTGAAATAACAGACACTTTAAAAAAGCTGCCCAACTGAAATTGCACAAATTGCAATAAAACTGCCACATAACACAAGGTTTTTATACATATAAGTTTATTTAACGGGTGATACTCGTAAAATATTTGTTCCAAATATTACCTTCGACGAGTTTAACTCGGCGCACGTCCTGGTAGGTTATAAACCTACAATTTTGTTTTAGTTTGTCTACCGCGTAACTATACTTGAACCCTTTAAGTAATAAGTTGAACTACAGGATCGATATGTTGATTGTATCGATAAAACATGGATTTTGAGGCATAAGGAAGCATTGTTGAGTTCTGAAACCAAGTTTAATCGATTTCTCGTGCGATTTTAGGTCAGGAATGGTCATCAAATTAAATTTAAAACAATGACGATATTTTGGTAAATTTCTAGCTTTCTGCCAGAAAATAAATTGTCGGTTTCTATAGGGGTTTAATTAGGTATAAACTACAGTACAGCTATACTTACACCCACATTCACATGCATGCAAGCTCACCTGGTCCAATGAGCGGGAAACGGAGAGGAAGGTCTGGTGACGTCATAGTCACGTGACCTCAGGCTCATAATCACGTGACCTCAGGCCCAATCAATTGGGTTCTGGCCTGGTCAGCCCCCTGTCACCCTTAACATGCCCAAAACCCAAATTTTAGGTGCTCTACTTGTAGCTTGTGGTTCCCTGAACTCGTACATGAATTTTCATTAAGATTGGACAAACAATGGCTGAGCTAGTTATGAGCCAAAAACCATATGACCATATTTGGGCATACGCACCAATTTTGATCGATTTTGGCCCATAAATTAGTCAAATATCAATATTTTTGAATGGAACCAACTTTATATAAAAGTTAAGTCTATACTACACAATCTCTATAGCATCTCTATAGCATCTCTATAGCATAGTATAGATATCAGCTCAATATCTACCTAAAAATGCCCGGCAAATTTCAGAATTTGGCCGCCAAATTTTTTTAAAGGCCTAACTCAAAATTCTGTCCCAAAACTTAAGGTCGAAATGCGATTCTACGTTGATTCTGAAATTTCATGTAAAAATATTCAAACCCTATTGAGTTCTATTGTTTTGAGCGAAGTCAGTTTTGCAAATATCGCGAACTGAGATATGGGCAATTTTGTTCAGTTTTTGCGATTATTTGAACACAGAATCCACAGGACCACAGTTAGGTAGATACTGAGCTAATAATCATAGATAATGTGTAGTATAGACTTACCTTCCATATAAAGTTGGTTTCATTTCAAAATATTGATATTTGACCAATTTATGGGCCAAAATCGATCAAAATTGGTGCGTATGCCCAAATATGGTTATATGGTTTTTGGCTCATAACTCAGCCATTTTTTGTCCAATCTTGATGAAAATTCATATACGAGTTCAGGGAACCACTAGCTACAAGTAAATCACCTAAAATCTGGGCATGTTAAGGGTATTTGGCTAAATTGGGCCTAATTTGGACAAAATATGGGCGTGGCTGCCCCGCAGGCACCGTTTGGCGGTTGGGGTCCGAGACCCCCTCAAAAGTTCACTGGTCACTGGTCCTAGTTTGTTGGTCAACTGCTATCTTCGCAAAAAAATCAGGGTGAACCCCCCCCCCCCCCCTTAAGTTTTGTCTCTCCAAAGGAGAACGAGCAATATTTCACGAAAACAGAAATCAGTAAGATATAAAGCTCACCCAAGTAACCTAAGCTTAAGAAAGTTAATTTCTAGTGGCACTCTTAAGCATTTAAGAGGTGTTCCGTTTTATTGGAAAAAGCAAAATTCAGTTATTTTCTTTTGAGAATTAAATTAAACTTGCCCCATGACATAGCAATGAAGTTCAAGTTGAATGTCTTCACTGTTACTACCTGTTCATTTTATTTGTTAAATATCCCTTGATAAATCGAGCGCACACAATCAGTCAGTGTCGGTCATTTGAGTTTCCTTGGTCGCCTTTATCCCTTTTTATCGGACCGAATTGGGAAAATTTGTCTACTAACGAGACAAGTTAAAAATGAATTACTTTATGAAGGAGTAAAATGAACGACTCAGTCACCTAACTATCTCCATCGTTGTCTAAAAGGTCCACCATGTCGCCATGGTAACGTTACGCCACTGCTGTCACCTCGTCTGTAACCTAAAATTTAACAGTCACTGCTACAGCAGCAGCTGTCAGCAGACAAAAGATTTTGTGTTTTGCTCCGGGAACAGGCTTACCACATAGGTCCGGGAGTTCCGAACGTTTAGGCAGGGTGCTAGGTTGTCATGGTACACGCTCAACTATATGTTAAGGTAGTCTGAAAGTCCGAAAATCTCCAAATAGAGAAGCATCATCAGAGTGTGAGCCACTGCAGACAAGAGATACGAGTCATACCAATTACAGAAAACATCTTGTAGTATTAAGCATTAAGATCATATTACACATTAAGTATTAAGTGGCGGTCGCGCGCTACTGCAAGTATCAATTTGAACAATAATTATATATAACGTCACAAAAGTGAGTGTCCCTGACACTCCTTATATGGTCATCACGTGGTCACAGCTACTACTTAAATTTATATGTTTTTACAGCTTAACTAAAGTGTTTAGTTTGTTTCATACTATACAGATACTATCATTTTCCGAGTGGAGTTGAACCCCATCTATAATTACTTATATGTAACGAATTTTGACTGATTAAATTTTGCCTCAGTTGCAATTTTTACGTCTGAGTTAATAAACTATGATGATTATATATGAATTTTACTTGAAAGAGTGCTTATCTTAAAGTTAAATGTTTTTACAGGCTCTAATGTTGTAGTCTTACGAAGATTTCCTTACGTCGTGTGTTTCCCTAATTCGTGTCCAAAAGCATTATAGCTACTACTTTATTACTGAGTCGGAACTAAGAGTCCATTATACGCCAGATAACCCCCTCCATATATCCCTGTCCCGCATCAGGGTTTACAGTTCCTCTTTAGAGTTTGGTAATGTTACCATGGTAACCCTCCTCTGTATTACCATGGTAACCCTCCTCTCTTTAGAGTTTGGTAATGTTACCAATGGTAACCCTCCTCTGTATTACCATGGTAACCCTCCCCCATATAACTTTAGAGTTTGTCCCAACTTCTTTCAGCAACATACCTTATCGGACATAATTGTCACGTACTTTCACGCTGAAGACCTGAGCGTGAATAATTATGTCCGTGAAAAACTTGTCCATGACAATTGACAATTATGTCTGCTAAGGTAGGTATATTTGTCTCGGTCAGCCACCCAAAGGTTCCCATGGTAACCCCCCCCCCCCCCCTCCCACCCAAAGGTTTCCATCGAACCTGCTTGTTAGTTATCGTATGTTATCGCCTTTGATCTTATTATTAGTTTATAGTAGCATCTGGTACGTTTATATCGGTAGCAGCTTGGCAGATTTATTCTTCTTGATAAGTGGTCGCTTATAATGTTATAATGTTGCTGCCCCTTACTTCTGCTAGCGATCTTCAGTTTAATACTCTCCCCAATAGTGGGCTCTATCGTCTATTTTTATTTTTTATTTTAGGAAAGAATTTAGTAATTTAGTACAGACAGATCCGTCTGAAAAAATCGATCTGCTGACACACGAAGCTTTCAGAGGATTTTTGACGTTTTTGAGTCCCATTAGGTGCCCTTTATGGCTGACCAACTTTTCCAAACTTTTCCACTTGTCTTAAGGCCACTTTTTGCCACTTTACCACTTTTTACCACCTTTCTTGTTTGTCGAATATCTTTAGTTGTGAACATCGTAAAAGGTTGCGGATCAATCGAGTGTGTTCATATTATCAGGAAGAAAAACTTTTGTTCAAAACAACTTTTACGTCAGATAATAAGTTAATTGGATAATTATCAATTAACTAATTAGCAAAATTCTAAAAATTTTTTATTGGCTCAAAATGATCGGAATAGCTTAAAACACGGAGAAAAGTAGTTTTTAGAAAA